ATTATGTGCAGTATCAGTTCGGAGCTCCCTTCAGAAGTGGGATGACCAACTTTTGGCCCGGGTGACTACTCTATGCATACGTAACGCAGCCCACTTGCCGTAAATTGCTTTAGAGGACTGGCTTACAATAACAAATTGCACTACACTCCTTTCAAATGGGATGAATATCTCGAAGTGTAACACAATAATGATGGGGATAAGGAGCATGGTGGGAGTTTGAGAATGATCAACAAAGGCACAATCAAAGAGATGGTATTTTTAGGAGAATTTTGAAGGAAGAGGGAGAAGGTAAATGGATTTTGGGAGAGTTCCAGAGAGTGAGGGAGTGGGGGGGGGGGCTTTGTGGCTAAGTCTCGCCACAGGATGAGGTGAGCGAGGAACAAGCAGGAAACTGAAGTTGGAAGAGAAGATGGTATGTGCAGATGAATAGGGCTGGAGTATATTGCAAAGGTAAGAAGGACTAAAATCATGAAGGAATACAGAGAACAGGACAAGTACTGTATATTTAAATCTATCTGCTGGGATGTTTAGGACCAGTGGTGCCTAATGAGGATGAAGGTAGTGCTTGTGTATAGAGTCTAGTGCAGGTGTGGTTTAATGTGTACTGTACAAAATGCCCACTTCTGGTATTTCCAACAAGATGATAGCTTTAATCAACAATAACAACTTGCATTTATATAGCGCCCCTCACATAGGGTAACGTCCCAGAGAACTTAATCAGATAGTGTATTGTGTTGTAGGGTAATGCTGTGAAATGAGTGCTGAGTTAAGACTATACTGTAGGAATGTCCTGCTGAATGTGATCAAATTGTTGTTTGTCCTAGGTAATGTTTAGAGCTTGCCACATGGCTCAGTGGCTCATGCATTGTTTATGAAACTGTTCACTAGGAAAGTAACATGTTCAGTCCTTGGGCTCTGGTGAAGTAATGGATTTCAGAGGGGTTGTCAGCTAGGGCAAAGATTGAGGCAAAGGCAAAATATTGAAGGAGAGACAGGGTGTTGCCCCCCCCAATCCCTCCCCCACCCCCCTCTCACCCCATAAAAGCAGCAATTAAAATACAAATGAAACTTCACATAAATAAAATACATTTAGAACAGATTAGAGGAAAAATGCTGACTGAAGAACGGAGAAAAATTAAGGCCATAAGTGCACTTCGTTTCATGCAAACTTTCTAGCTGAATGCGGCTGAATGTGTGAAATGTCCTCACTCTTTCAGAAAAAGCACATTGACTGCACTGATTCATTATGTTGTGGCAGACCTGAGGAAAATGACACCCAGAGCAGTAGCTTGGGAAGCATTGACTCAGTTTTTATTGCATCAGTAAGAGAAATCTATGATTTGGGGCAAAAGCATTTATTTCCTCAAACCTAGCAGTAAACCTCTCTCGTCCCTGCCCAGGAGAAAAATCGCACCACTTGTTCACTTTCAACATCAGGTGAGCTGGAAACCGTCAAGCACGTGTTTGTGAACATAAATACTGCCTTGTGACCTCCGTAAAATATTGGGCTTATTTAGCAGACACTAGTTTAATTTTTTTCAAATAAAATTATCATAGTGGGAACTTTCTATTTGCCCGTCAGTCCCTGCTAGCATAGAGCTGTTCATTTAGCCTCTGACATCAATGCAACAGTGTAGGTCTTGACATAGCAGGTATGCATACACCAGGCTTAGGGAACAAGAGATGCAGTGTTTAGGAAGCGGGCTGGATTGAGGGTTAGTTTGGGGTTAGTTCTGGAGCTGTGCCTCTGTAGGTTATCTACATCCAGTTTAAACCACAGGAGTGCAGCACAGTGATCATCTGTAGTATTAGAACTGCCTTAAGAGCCAAGGTGCTGTATTGCCTGGATGAGCCTCACAAATATCAGTATGATGGTTAGAGCAAGTAATGTCTCAGGCTGCATTATGAGTGATGTTCAAGCGGTGGAACTGACGTTTGAATGTTGCTTTCCGAGCAACTGCAGACTTTATATTTATATATCCTCATGACAGCTCTTGATGATATCTTTTCCACCCCCAACAACAACAACAAGATTACATTTGTATAGCGCCTTTCACGTCGGGAGGACGTCCCAAGGCACTGGACAGAGTACAGCATTTCAGCCCCAAACTGGGGTTGGGGGGGGAAGGGAGGGGAGGGGAAGGGGGGTAGCCGATGGTATGGTCGAAGAGGAGGGTTTTGAGGCGGGACTTGAAGGAGGCTAAGGAGGAGGCGAGGCGGAGTGATTGAGGGATGGAATTCCAGAGGTTGGGGGCAGAGTGGCTGAAGGCTCTCCCACCAATGATGGGGCAGGTGGGTTGGGGGACGTGGAGCAGGCCAGAGCCGGCTGAGCGGAGGGAATGGGCGGGTTGCTAGGGGGTTAAGAGGTCGTAGAGATAGGGTGGGGCAAGGCCATGGAGGGCTTTGTATGTGAGGACCAGGGTCTTGAACTGGATCCTCTGAAGGATAGGGAGCCAGTGGAGTCGGGCGAGAATGGAGGAGATGGGGTCACGGAGTTTGGTGCGGGAGAGGACACGGGCTGCAGAGTTCTGGATTATCTGCAGCCTGTGGAGGGAGAAGTTGGGAAGGCTGACAAGCAGGGCGTTTGCATAGTCGAGCCTGGAGGTGATGAAGGCATGAGCAAGAGTTTCAGCGGCCTGAGGGGTGAGATAGTGGCGGAGTCGGGCGATTTTACGGAGGTGAGAGGAGGCAGAGCGGGTCATGGCTTGGATGTGGGGGAGAAAAGACAGTTGGGAGTCGAACAAGACACCCAGGTTCCTGACTGACTTGGTGAGTTGTAGTGAGCAACCATGTTGCCAGAGCCTGAGGTGCTGAGGCGCTGGTGTGAGCCAATCAGGAGGGCCTCAGTCTTGTTCACATTCAACTGTAGGAAATCTGCCCTCATCCAGAACTTGATGTCCGACAGGCAGTCTGTCTAACCCCCCCGCGCCCCCTTAGATACCTAAATCGTGTGAGTGGTGGCCAGCAAGTGTCTGAAAATCGGCAACTGTTTTCATGATTTATGTTGCATTATATGGGGGGGTAGTAGAAAACAAACTTTTATGAGGAGTTCTGAGCATAAGCAGAGCAAAAGCCACTGGCTACTTAACTTCCAGATAGTTGATGATAGAAAATCATCACCTTTGGCTTCCAAAGACATTCAGTCATGTGCAAATCAAATAGGCTGCTGCTATTTCATACCTCACCAGCACAAAAAGGCCTATTAATAAAGCTGAAAGTGGCATTTGTACTGTTGATCTATGGGATGTTTCTTCTGTTTCTTCTCTTTCCCCCAGCTCCAATTTTCTCCTTACCTCTCCTGAAGGTGTGAAATCACGCTGGGGTATAATTGGGTTGGTTTCAGGAGACCTCTGGCAGTTTGTCAAAGCTAGAATAAAATGTGAATTAAAAACATTTTAGTTGATGAAAGTCTATTCCACACTTTGAGTTTTATTGTCCAAAGAATAACATTCAGAGCAACGTTAATGAATCTTGAGATTGACACTTGCTTCCATGAGGGTTTAACTGTCCAATTTGCCTACGAATATACAGACACTACACTGAATGGTAAATTCTGTGAGCACTTTGAGATATTTCAATGACATGATAAGGTGCTGTATTGAATACAGGGTGCTAATTAATAATAATTATTATTATTAATACTGAATGAAAGGCTACGAAATAAAAGCATGTTCATTTCTGATTATAATTTGTGGGTAAATTGTATTATGCTGTGTGACTCATATAGGTCAGGAAGATCTGTGGTGTGCGCTGAAAGCAGATATATGCAGTGAGTGTGGGTGGAGAGTTCCTACAATTGGCTCCAGTGCCACTTGGCTTTGGAAGCGAGGTATTGCCCAAGGAGTCCTGTAGCTCAGTGGTTAGAGCACTCGCTTTGTAAGTGAGAGACCTGAGTTCAATTCCAGGCAGAGGGCGAAACCTTGGGCAAGTTTCCTTACTCCACACGCCTAATAATAATCCCTCCAAAAACCAAAAACAATAATAAATTGGTCATTTTCAATCTACGACTGTTTGTGGGACATTGCTGTGCGCAATTGGCTGCCGCGTTCGCCCACAAATATACAGTCAATTCACTTTACAGTGTGTTCTGTGAAGTGCTTTGGGACGTCCTCCCGACGTGAAAAGCGCTATATCAAATGCAAGGATTATTATTATTATTAAGGTCCCTGTTTGCTGTCCTGTGATCCTTGCTGGCAAGTTTATTTGCGCAGGAGTGGATCAGAATTGGTCGTCATGCTATTGAAAGAGTTGTAGCTTGCTAGGATTTATTTTGTTCACACATGTTTAGCCAGTTGGACAAGTTGCTGCAAAGCTGCCAGTGGCCTTGACAATGACAAAGAGAAAGGAATTTCAAACAATATTGTTTGACAGCTGAGAACTCTGTACAGTAGGTCTTACAAAGACCCAACTGTGCTAGTGTTTATACTGTACACAAGTCTCCTCCACCCAATCCGTACTCTCTCCCACACCCTTCTATTCTGCATTACAACAGACCCCCATGTAAAGGCCTATCTTCCTTTTGAATGCATATATAATATCGGATTACAACCACTGCTTCAGACAACCCGTTCCACATTCTCACTATTCTCTACATGAAGTAATGCCGCTATATTCTCTTTTAGATCCCCTAATTGTTATCTTATTCTTGTGTCCCCTGATTACGGACTCCCCAAACAATGGAAATAGTCTATTTATGCTAACCTTATCGAACTCTTATATAATTTTAATAACCTCTATTAGATCCCCTCTTAAACATTTCTTTCTGAGCAAAAAAAGACCCAACCTATCTCGTCTATCCTGATAGCAGTCACGTGCCAGCCCTGGTATCATCTTAGTGAACCTACGTTGCACTCTTTCCATCGCTGCTGTAGCCTTCTTACAGTATAGCAAGCAGAATTGGGCACAGTATTCCAAATGTGGTCTAATTGAGGGTTTATATAAATTCAACATATTCTGTGTATTCTATTCTTTAATGACATTTATTTTTGAATCTTCTTTAGGTCCTGCCATTCCCCAGCCAAGTAGTCTACAACAGGGTCGGAAAGTGTGGGAGTCGAACAGTGGTTCAGCTGCTGAAAATCCTTACAGAGAGAAACCATTTCAACCTAGTAAATTCAGACATTCATAATAAGACCAGGCTGAATAAAAATGAGCAGGTAAGCCAAATCTCTTACGCGCACACACACACACACACACATAGGTATAAAGTCATTTGTACTGGCATTATAATCTGTTTAGATCTTTAGCAGTTGTTTGTACAACTGTATGAATTAATAACAGCGACTTTGGCTATACAGCAACAGCTAAATGAGCTACATTGCACTCAATGGAGTGGCTTTTGCAAAGCTAAAATATATATTTGTCTCACTGATTTGCTTCTGCTTTTCCCATTGTTGCCTGTCCCAGCCTCTAAAGAAAATAATAATAGTAATCCTTGCATTTTGTAAAATGCCTTTCATGTCAGGAAGACATCTCAAAGCGTTTCACAGGATACAATGTAAGGTGGAGTGACTGTGTACCTTGTGGGCGAACACACCAGCTAGTTGTGCACTGCAATGTTCCATAAACAGCTTTGAAGTGAATTACCAATTGTATTCGGGGGATTGTTGGCCAGGACATTGGGAGAAACTCCATTCTCTTCTCATAATATTTTAGGCCAAAAAAAAATCTTGGACCTGAAAGTATTCAAGAGAGTTGTCACAGGAACAGAACATTCTCTTCTCGCTGAATGATTGAGGTTTGGAGGGTTCCTTGCCTTTTTTGTTGGTGACGCCATTTTACATTATACCATTCTTCATTGCCTATTACATGTATCGCACACAGCAATGTCCTGCAAACAGCCATGAAGTGAATGACCAATTTTATTCTAGGGGATTGTTGGACAGGACACCAGGAGAAACTCCCATTTCTTTTCGAACAGTGTCAATCGGATATTTAATGACCTTGGCTTAATGTTTCATCGAAAAAATGGCATATCCAACAAAGCAGTGCACTGTGTTGGAGTGTCAGCCGAGACTATATGAGTTCCAAGTACCAAAGTGGGTCCACTGACCTGGAGGCAAGAATGCTGCCATATTTTAACTACAATCAAGAATAACAAATGCAGCCAAACCTGAGAACTCATGTGAGCAGTTATCAGAACAAATTTGCAGCCCACTAAAACCTCTAGATATTTGAGGAAAGTAATTTCTTATGCTTTTGACTGCCTTTCCCCTCCCCTCCTCAGCTGTCCACTTTTGTGCTTCCAGTCAGTTGTGTGAAGCCCTTTGAGTTATCATCTCTATGTGAAAGTTGCAATATAATGTAAATTGATACCTGGCAGTGCAGAAGAGGGTGATGCATTGGTTCTACAATGTGTTTCATCACTGAGAGGCAAAATGCCTTTGTGTCTTCCCGCACCAAATTCTCAGTCTCACCTGTGCTGCCTAAGAAGCACCAATCTAAAGTCAGCTATTTTTTCTTCAAAGATGGGGATTGAAAAATACTGTCCCGCCCCTTGGGACGTCCTTCCGATGTGAAAGGCGCTATACAAATGTAATTTGTTGTTGTTGTTAAACATCTCTATTAAACACCTAGTAAAGAAGTTAGTCTGTACTGGTTCCACAGTCTGGCCACGTTCTGTTGTATACATTGCCCTGTGCACACTGCAGCCTGTGTATCCCTTTTGTTACTGACTTGAAATGGAGGACTGCACAAAGGTGAAAGAAAGGTTACTTACAGTTACTTAAAAAATGAACACTAGAATTTAGAAATGAAAGCAGAAAATGCTAAAACTATGGAATAAGCAAAAACATGGTTATGATTGAGCCAATGCACTGGTAGAAGAACAGAAGCTATGTGCACTGTGTGTTTGTGATGTGAAAGAAAGCTGCTGGATCTGGATCATATCAGAGAAAGTACAGGTAGCATAAGATGATGGGTAGAGGAAACTGTAGATCAGGAGAGGGAATAAAATGGGAGAAAGAACTGAGGATTAGAAAACTTTTGAACTGATGGAAAGAGGATAAATCATCAACTGCTGTAAAGTACAGTCAGAACAATTTGACAACTAGACAATCATGAACATAAGTTTGCTGGACAGCTGCAAGATGCTAACTTATGCAGAAATTAATACTGCTGGACCGTGTGAAAGGATTTGGACACATGGAAGGCAATGACAAACAAATGGCCAAAATTTTTGAAAAAATTCACCGTCACTTAAAATACAAACATAAGAGTAGTAGATGAAAAGGGAATAGAGCAATAGAGTGAACACCGTAAACATTAAACTGAAAAGTGAACCTCGAAAAACATGAGACTTGAGGGCAAGACTTCACAGAATATTATAATAATAATCCTTGCATTTGATGTAGTACCTTATTGTGTCTTTGAGACGCCTCAAAGCGCTTCACAGAACATACTGTAAAGTGCTGTGACTGTGTATATTTTGCGCGTGAAACACGGTAGCTAATTGCGCACAGCAGGAGCCAAATCGAGGTCTTGTTTGTAGAATGTTGATCTAATCTATAAGTGTTGGTCTATGTCAAGAAAAGCTGAATAATTGTGAATTTAAGATGTGATCAATATACTATTGAGTAAGCATGCTAAGTGATGCAAGAAGAGTCTTGCTACAATATGTCTCTTAAAAAATAATGAGCCTGTTTATTGGATGGAGTCCTGGTTTGGGGCTAAATCCAGTGTCCAACAAACAGAATTGCTCAGTTTAAATAAAAAACTAATATGAAACTGCATCTGGAGTTTTTAGTGTCTTCAATGGAAGTTACGTCTGGTTGGAATATTTTTACAGAGGATGTTAAACGTTCGTAAAAATGGTGCAACTGCTTTGCAGCTAATTAATCTTATGCAATGTTCCCTTCTCCAAATCCCTTAATACTCTATTCCATCATTTCCATGTTTATTTAACTCTATTTCAAACTCTTCAATTGGTTTTGCATTTACAACTTTCTGGGGATGGTACATTCCCCATTCTCACAATCTTTTGTGTGAAGAAATATTTTCTGGATTCATTTAAACTGGTTCTATAAATTGCTTAAAAATTCTATAGCATCTAACTGGCGGTTTTCCTTTGAAATGAATCCCGATTGAATTCCTGTCGATCCTCAGGAATTAGGCTACAGATGTCAGGTTTTAAGTACCCTGAGATGCTTTATTGCATGAAGGGCACTATATAAATACAGATTATGTTGTAGATCATGTCGGAGCAGAATATCTACAGGCCAAAATGAGTTTCGTTAGCAGAAGTAGACTCTCTTTCATAGCTGAGATTCCTTGCTAAGAAATGACTGTAAAAGATTCCCCAGTGATATAGTACCAGAGGGTAACTCTCACATGTGAAACTGCATGAGGTGGCTTTCCATTAGGACCAGAAAGGCATATGCCAGTGGGTAGAAAATTAGAAAAAAAATTTACACTGAAAAAAGCTGGAGAGAGCATCCCTGGTGGTCAACTTCCACCTTACTTGCTTCTCTAGCCATCATGGAAAAAAAATGCCCTCTTTAGTGGGACTCTGTTTGCTGTGAATTTGTATGCTTTATTTGGATGTTTCAGAATACAATTTGTTGTGTGATGTATGGAATGGGAATACTGCTTTTTTAATTTTGCATTTCTTGCTATCTGCGCGGCTGTTTCCTTCACACTCTAAAACAACTACAACAAATTACATTGGGTCAAATTATTTTCAAGTCGGGAGGACATCCCATATTATTATTATCCCAAGGCATTGGACAGTTAGGGATTTGGACTCAAATTGGGGGATTGGGATCTGGAGGGAGGGAGGGCAGGGAGGGATGGGGTAGGAGGGTGCTCATCCCCTACCCCCGGTCCAACTTCCCAACCCACTTGCTCTGCTCTGATAACCCAGGCCTTCTCCTTGTTCCTGCTCCACCATCAGGGCAAATTTTGAACTGCATTTCCCCCATTCTCTGGAATTCTCTAAATCACACTGCCTCACACCCTCACCTCTCTGCTTTCTAAACCTGTTTGAAAACCTATCTATGTCAAGATATTTGGAGTCCTGTAGCTCAGTGGTCAGAGCACTTGCCTGGCATGCAAGAAACCTGGGTTCGATTCCCTGCAGGGCCAAGAAAAAAACCAATAATAAATTAGTCGCATCAATCCACGACTGTTTGTGGTACACTGCAGAGCGCAATTGGCTGCCGTGTTTCACCAACAAATGTACAGTCAATTCACTTTACAGTCTATTCTGTGAATCGCTTTGAGACATCTAGAAGATGTGAAAAGCATTATATCAAAATGCAAGGATTATTATTTTTATTATTAATTTCCTATATCAAAAGCTAGCTGCAAGTTGTTTTCACTGAGCAACCAGATTTAATTACACAGAGTGTGGTGAATATGAAGAATAGACAAATCGGGAAAGTAGTAGAGACAGATTATGTTAGCACATTCAAGAAGGAGTCAAATAATTATTTTGTGAGGAAAATAATTGAGTGGTATTAGAGGAGAGTAATGTAGTTTTTTTTATTTTGGAACTCTCTAACTCCCACATCTCAGTAATTCCCATTCAGTGTTTAATAAATCCCTTCATTTAGATTTAGCTGGTTAGACTCCAGCAGTACCCCAACACACACTCTGGGTCCCCAAGCCTTGATTCTTGTCAACCTGAACCAAATACTCCGGAATTAGGTAAGCGGGCTGCGTCCCTCCAGAGATAAGAGTGTGGATTCCAATAAATATCTCTGGAATTTCCATGTGTAGGTGGGATGCATGGAACTCTTGCAATGATTTGGTTTGTATACTCTTAAGCATGTTAGTGGGATTTCACATGTCAGATATTTGGCTGACCAAAAAAATCTTCATTTAGACAAGTTAGACCCCATTGTGTCTAAGTATACAATAATAAACACACTACAAATTAGGCTAACATATCAGGGGCTTCACATATGTTAAAGACAATAATAGTATTTAATATATATAATTCCATAATTAAACTTTCTTGGTTTTAAATGCAAGTAGATTGATGGGTAAAAGAAGCTAAGTGTCTTCTGTTTTAAAACCTTCTCATTTCATAACTTTTCTGTCTTTCCTATTTATACAGGCAGAATTAGTAAGGTATATCAACATTGTGCAGCAACCTTACTTGTATACACGGCATGTCCATTTTCTCAACTTCACAAGGTAATGCTATTTTTTTTGGTGAGTTCTCCATGACTATTATTTCACTGTAATAGTAATAAGTCCATTGTAAACTCAATTGCACACGCAAAGACCATGAAACCTCTATGTACAGGTACTAAAATGTGTAATTCCTGCACTTTGTTGTGTTTAAAAAGTAGAAAATATGAATTGATCAAAAGTAGTAAATGAACAGGAGAATGTTAGACAGACTTAAAATGTAAACTTGTGTGGTTTTAATTTTTGTAGCATTTCAAGTCACTTTGGACACTAGATGTAACAAGCAGGAATTTCAACACCTCTGCCTTAAGTAATAAATTTATAGCGTCATACACATGGTGAAGAACAGTTTCTTCTGGTCAGCCTGGTGTCTGACACATGCGGAAATTCATCACCATGCTTAAGAGTATCCAAACCAAACTTCGAGTTCCATGCATCCCATCTATACATGGAAATTCTAGAGCTGTTATTTATTAGAATAAAAACCGCACTCCCTCCCCAGAGGGGAGGATCCTGATAAGCATCCTGCTTATCTAGTTCCAGAGAGTATTAGGTGCAGGTGGGCAAGGCTGGGGGACCCCAGAGTGTATTGGGGTACTGCTGGACTCTTGCCAGCTAGAACCACAAGCTTGCCATTGAAAGCACGATCTGGCAAGCTTTCTCACTGATTGTCCAGCTAGGACCACCCTACCCATTAGAGCTTAGGCTTGCAGGGTTGACTGGACCTGAATGGGATGACTCCCTGGCCCCAGTGACTGATCTGCCCTTCCAAATCCTGCCGATGAGCCAGGCTGGCTGTGCTGTCATCAGCAGTGCCCTGGAGTCCTGCGGACGCAGTTGGCTCAGGAACTGAACTACTGAAACCACCACAAAGGATTGGCTCAATTCTGACATTCTGCTGAGCTATGAGCGAAATCCCTAGGCATATCGTATCAGAAAAAGAAGGAAGCTTAAGGTTGGAGAAAAGTAACGTACAGAAGTATATCAGTGTTGCAAACATAAAAGTTTATTAAACCAAACCCTCCCCCTTTACTCAATAATAATGATATCCCAAAAACCTCTTGGAGAACCGGGTGTTGCAGTGGTGACATTCCAAACATGGACTTTCAGCTGTTCAAGTTCATTTTTCTCCTTTATATATCAGGCAAGACCCTGGATTAAAAAGAATAGACTTCTCAAGAGCTTTGACTTCAAATTTACAAGGATTTTGCAATTTTTAAAAATGTAGTCATCATTTAGATACCCTTTGGTGACAATTTGAGTGATAGGGGGCATTTTGAAGAACAGAGCACTGTGGGGGTGGAGTAGAAAGAAAGCTGAGAAAAGACTAATATCAGAAAGATTAATAAGTTTCAGAGAGGATTCAACTGCATTAGCAGTATGTGAGGGAGGGAGGGGGTTGGGCAGAAGAAGGGAAGTTCACAATAAATCAGGTCAGCTTTTAGGAAAGCTGATGTTGACCGTCAAAACCAGGGACTTTAAGATGTTCAAGTTCATATTTCTCCTTTATGTATGAGACAAGACCCAGGATTAAGAAGATCAGATTTCTCATGGCCTTTGGCCTTAAGACCCTTGACTTCAGATTAACATTGGTAGGATTTTGCATATTGCATTGCAGGATCTGTATTTCTTTAAATCAATGACTTTGTTACAAAAACATTGAAGGCCTTCCTTGTGTTTTTATCAGTTTAAGATTGAACTACTGTATTAGGATTTGTGTTCTTTACAGTTTTGCATGGAATAAATCAGCTGACTGAGACTTCTCTCCAGTCTGCTCGATGTTAACAATCCGCAAACCAAGTAACCACACCACAGAACCAGAGATAGAATGTTGAATAGTAGCTGGCAACTACTCAAAATCATCCTTGAAGGAGAGTGAAAGAAATACTGGTACTGTATTCCCCGAGCTCTCAACAATAATGCATCGCTATATGTTATCCTACTTTTAAATATCTTCCTATTCTGTGTGAGGTAATGAGATTGGGTGCACTCCTCTTACTCCCTCCTTCCCAGAATCAGGTTAGTAAACCCTAACTCAGCCTTTGATCCTTTGGAGCTGATGCATGATACAGAGGGATATCTCCAAAAGAAGTTCTATCTTGGGAAGTAGACCTCCAGTATGTCCATTCCATCAGCTGAATTGTGTTGCAAACTAAGGTGATGACCAGTAACTGTAGACCTTTGCGACTTTCACTGTGATTTTGATGCCGGGCTGCCCAGTTCCAGAGGAGAGCAATGAGGATAATCCTCAGTGGTAGAAGGATGAGCTATGAGGATTGGCTAGCTAAGCTAGGGCTCTTTAGCTTTGAAAATAGATGTTTCAGACTGGTCCTTAAAGAGGTGCATATAATACGCTAGACGGTTTTGAGAATGTAAACCCAGAACAATAATTTTGCATTCAGAAGGTATGAAGTATTTATTTACAGTGATGGCAGTTAGCAGATAAAATGGGTCACCAGGAAAGCGATTAACACATTTACTAAACAGCTTGACGTTGTGAGTAAGTCCTTCTTCATCCAAACGTCTCGAGATCTTTCCCCTTTTGCCCATTTATAATTAAGATTTCAATTAGATCGCAGAGCAACAACAACAAATTACATTTAAGTTAAATCGCAGAGCTAAATGTGGATATGTTTCTAAACAATTTCCCTTCTATTCCTTCAAAATGGTGCATATAATAAAGATTTAATAAAGTTTAACCTTGGTTTCCCAGACCAGTACACAGTATACGGAAGGAGAGTTCCCTCTGATGGAATAACTGATGCAGACACATTTCACTGAATACTGATCCCTGATTTATATTGATGTAAAACTATTTCCATTTCAAACTTTTCTGGTACCTCTCGTCAAAGGACAAACTGGTAACGAAATTCTGAATGTCACGTGGCAGCCTTGTAACTTAAGTACATTGTCGAATGTCATTGACCTCCGATGCTTGCATGACCATGATGGATAGTCTGGAGCACAGAATGGAAATGTTTTAAGTGCAGCAAACTATTGAGTGCCCAACCGTGCAGCAGATTTTGAAAACAACCTTCAGTGTAGCACGATGCAAAGGACGAGTGTTCTACATGATGTGGAGCAAATTTTCATTTCAGTTTGCTTTGTCTTAGATGCGTTGCAATCTGTAACTCTAAGGAAATACTGAACTGCTAATTCTCTTCGCTGCTGCACTTCCTAGAGAGAGAGAGAGAGCACCTCAATATTATTTGGTTTCGGGAGGAAATCAGCCAGTTATAGAGGAGTAAACCTGTTAAAATCTATGTTTGCATCTATTGTGTGGTAACGTAATTGTGACAACCCTCGCACGCATACCTTCTTTATCCTTCTTAAAACTAGCTCAAATGGATAAAAGATTGCATTATTTAACGTAAAATGAAATACTGTTTAGCTTTCTTCCTTTCGGAGCCCTAATTTATTTGTGGTTTTCCCTTTGGCTCTGCAAGGGTAAAACAATTAATGTATTTATATTTGATTGAGTCTTTGTCCTGACATTGGGACTTCAGTTGCAATAATTGGGCAATTGGAAGCGAATAAATTGCGTGAGGTATGTACTCTATACGTGTGCAAGAGTGTTTTCAGTATTAGTGCAAGTGATCTAATTATTTTAGAAAATGACTTCATTGCATTAGAAAAGCAAACAAGCTTTTCTGTAAGATTGGCAAGATCCCTGAAGGCCCCACCTCCAGGCCAGCAATGGCCAGCAATTGGAATGAGACCAATATCCTTTCCACCCACGTGAGAGAATTTCTGCTTTGTTTCCTTTGTTTTCCGTTGTTCAGTAACCGGGTTTGTTCAGTAAGGAATTCTGATAAGAGATGTCATGTCATCTGTTCTTCAGATGAATGTTAAAGATCCCAAGATGCTGCAAAAAAGACACTGTTTTTCTCAGTGTCCTGGCCAAAACTTTTCTAAATTAATAGATCATTTACCTTTTGACTGATTATGGAACCTTGCTGCGTAGAAATTGCTGCTGATTTGCCGACAAGAATAGTAACTAAAAAAACTTGGTAATTTTTTGGGACCTGCTTTGAGACATTTGAGATAAAGCACCATGATAAAAATACACGTTCTCACTTTTATGTGTGATCCTACAGATAGTTGTCATACAATTTATTGTTGTAGGAGCATTGCTGTAGGAGCATTAGAGTGGAGCCTGATCCTATCTTTCCCCAATGCTCATAGATGCCTTTTCACAATTCCTTTGATGCCTTTGCTAACATTAGCTGAGCTGAGTAACCCCAATAATGACTGCAGAAAGATCACCTGAGTCTGTTTGGAACTAGGTAGCGGTTTAACAACTGAGTCAATAGAAAGCATGTCAATAATGCATCCTAACTGAATATTAAACATTGGGGTATGGCTGATTAATACAAGGAAAAATACATCGGGGAGGAAATGGTCAAATACCTTCAGGAGAGGAGGGAAAACAATGAACTTCCCTGAAGCTTGGTCCAATTCACTGCATGTTTTTCATCAGATGGAATCAGAATCCAAGCAAATATGACTGAAATAGGTAGATGGGTGACAAAGTAATCATATGCCTTCAGAAAAAGTAATTTTATGGAAAATCAAAAGTGGAGTTAGAGTCACATTTGTCCTTCTTTGTGGTACTGCGTAGCCTCTGGACATGGAGAAGTTGATAAGAGGTGTTTATCTACCACAAAACTGAATAATTGACAGAACATGTGAGCGTGTGAGAAAGTAAACCACTGAAATATTTTTTTAGAAACAAAGGGGCGTTCTCTTCGTGCACAGCTAAATTTCCAAAGCTCCTTGAAGTGAAGTCACATTGTTGTAACTTTAGACTCAGATAAAAGCATTCTGGCATAAATTATTCATAGTTAACCTTGAGAACGTTTCAGAGTACAACTTTTACATGGACTACAAGTTGTTTGTTTGTTGCAGGTTTGGATTGCAACAGCCGGTTTATATCAATTTGATTAGGGATCCAATTAGCCGCTTTGTATCCAACTATTTTTTTCGACGCTTTGGAGACTGGAGGTCTGAACAGAATCACCAGATCCGAACGCCAGGAATGAAAGACGAAGAGCGATACTTGGTAAGTGTTTATTTAATCCTCCTCCAATGCCCAGAAATAAACAAATCAAAATGATAGTTGAAATACTTTTCATTGGATCTGAACTCCTAACTCTTAAGAAGCTTTCAGTTTCTTAAGCCTGATGATTAGTACTTCTACCCATATCCAGAAAAAAAACACAAGTGAATGGACTGTATATCTCCTGGACATATGGGTAACAATCCTATTCCTCTGCAGCGCACATTCCATTGCTGAGTAGACATTGTGCTGGCATTCATTCCTAGTATTTCCTTTCAGTGCTGACAGGCTCCTTCCTCTATCAATGTTAGGTGGTACAATGGGATGCAGTAATGCAACTCTTAATTGTCGGGCACCTTAAGGCAATCGATGTCAGTGCTGAGCAATAGATCACTTCTAAATTCGAGGCAGCCATTCTCAGCACCAAAACTATTTATAGCACGAATAATTTTAAGAGGGTCATTTGTGTTCATTTCTTATTGGAATCAGAGCCAGCAATTTCCCAGCAAAATACTGTTTTCCCATGTATTAGGTTGCACATGAGGATGCTAAGAATGCGCTGACCCCAGTTCGTAACTTTGCATCCACGAGCCCAATTTCACACATATGAGCAGACAAAAAATGTTTTTGGTGCAAACTATTTATTTGGTGTTAAAGATAAAGAAAAGGAGACACTTGGAGTGAGACACATATTCACACACAGGATGATTTTGAGAGAAGATGAGACAATGCAATTTTCTTTGGTCAGCCTGGCATCTGACACGTGCAGAAGGCCATCATCATGCTTAAGAGTATCTAAACCAAGCATTTGCAGCTTGCTTTGGATACTCTTAAGAATGGTGAATGGCTTCCCCAATTGTCAGAACCAAGCTGACCAAAAAAAATGAGACAATGCACGCAAACCGAGACTGAGAGAGCTTCTTAGAGAAAGACAAAAAAGGCAGATTGAGAGACGAAAATACAAAGAGAAAAGAACTGACACAATGTGCTATAGTGAAGGAGTCATTTTTTTATTGGTGCTGTAGCCGATTTTTATTTTGTGTGATGTCCAATTATCTGCACTGTTTGCTTATCTGCAAATGGGGTCAGTCCCAATTAGTCTAGTTAATTGTTTCTCTACTGTAGAAAGATATGGCTAGGCTATTTCCATTGCCTACATTAGCTAAATAGATTTTCTATTAGGCTTCTGACCTTGAATTTCTAATGAACTCAGCAAATATTGTGGCACATAACAGAGAAAGCAACACGCTCTAAAATGATGGACATCCATGTCTTTGAAATGTAATCATGCAGATTGACATCGGACTGAGTTTTTAGCTTGCAGCTCTGCCAAATTGGGGTCTTAATTCCTTCTCAGAGATATGCTCCAATGTTCATATTCACTCCAGTGTACAGACCTCATTTGCTTCAGCTAATCCCCAATTGTGTAGTCTTTATTGCAGCTAATGCATTGAGAGGATTTGAGGGAAAATCCTGGCCTGACTGGACCTTACTATATCTTCCATTTTTTCCATGATTCATCCAAGTGCCTCTTTTTCCCTCTACTATAAATTCAGCCAGAATTTTTTTGTCAGCCCTAGCTAGGTGGACAGGCTTTAAGTCAATGGGAAAGTCATTTTCCCCTCTCCGAGAGAGATCCGATTGATGGGATTGCAGAGCCTACTGCCAGGGCGCTCTGTGTTTATTTCTCTTATATACACCAGAATATTTTTATATACTATTTTGTCCCCAGTGTCCATGCTTTCTAACCTCTATCATCTATTTGATGGTTTTCAGATTCTTTAGCTACAACTTTGTTCTCTAGTTTGAAAGCACATCTAGTTTGTCTGGTTCATTGCAGCACTCAGCAGCAAATACCTCAGTGAGGTCACGTAAGAAAATATTCATTTGTATCAAGTAGTGCTTCAATTTTCAAAGGTTAATCTCGTTGACTAATAAAAAACAGATTATTAAGGCCGCCAATCTTTACTGTAATCCTTTTGTTTAGTGGAAGTCCTGTTATTGGAAATGGTTCCAGATTGCAAATGCACAGATCTTCATTTCTGTTCTGTATATTTTCAGTTAAATATTTTGAGCTACATTCAGTGAAATGTATGGAATATTCATAATGTATAGAACAGTAAATTATTATTAATTCCAAAGTATTACATTATTCATAATGCTGTTCATAAAACTTGATTTTTTAAAAATTGCTTTAGTAACAATGACTGACTGCTTAACTTTTTATCTCCAATGCTGTAGGACATCAGTGATTGCATTCTTGAAAACCACGCAGAATGCAGCAACCCTAGACTATTCTACATTATCCCATATTTCTGTGGGCAACATCCCAAGTGCAGGTAAGATTTTAATTTATACAAAGATGTTTTTACCTTTATTTTATTGCCACGTCTTTCTTCAGCTCGTATTTTTTTTGGTGGACAGTTTTACACACTCCTCCGTGTCTTCAACTCACACAACCCTTGGCCTTTTTTGGGATGGGGGAACACAATACAGGTGCAGTGCGATACACATGGAGACTGTAATTGAAATGTACAGTAAATCATTGTCATAATTCATCACTTAGCAATTGATGAAAATGCACATTGGAGCAAGTAAGCTTCAGGGCAGAGGTTTCATTCTCGATTTGCTTTCTGTGACAGAGTTCTTCTGTTCATTTTGTTAAACAGAAATCCTGAGATTTTATTGCTGATATGATGCTCCTTTGGGGCTTTGATTCCCTGTGAATTTCCGGAGGGTCATCTTGCAGATTAGTGTTTAATACTTTGTACTCTCAAAATTTCCAATCTCAGCCTTTGCAATTAGTTCTTGTAGCCAGAAAAATCAAGGAAGGGCTAAAGGATTGAAGATTAAATTACCGAATACTCATCTTACAAAGAATGTACAGCACGGAAACAGGCCATGCAGTCCAATTAGTCCATTATCAGTCCATACTGGTGACCTCATGTAAAAGGTTTGATTTGTATTAGTAAGGCTTTGGAGTTCTGTATATCTTCTGTCTGCCTTTTCAGTATGTGAAGTAGTTTGAGATGTCATCCTGACATGAATCGCGCTGTAAGGACTTTTATTTTGGTGGGGAAAGGACAAGTAGTTTAAAAGGGACCTAAGGATAGGAGAAAATAAATTTTAAAGATTTGATTGATTAAAATATTCAAACAAAGACCTTTCTGCTGATCACTGTGGAATATACAGTATTTGCAAAATTATATGAGAAATTTGGGCACAGTTTTACAAACCTTGTTTTCCAAAATAGAAAGATTTGCAGCCTTCAGAAACAAACTGTTGAACAACATTAAAAGCTCTGTTTATTACAGAGGACAAAGAAACACATCGATACATTAGGATATAAATGGTCTTAACACAGGTTGTTATCACTGTGTTGCACTCACAGTGAGATAAGTGTTTATGAGTCGAGGCAGACCACACAAACAGCAGTGATTCTGTGAGATAGCCAAGGGCATTAGAAATTTTGAAGGCTTTTCTTTCCCAAACTGTTCCTTACACTCAAAGGTGTTTTATATTGCAAAGGAAATATATCCAACTCCTCTCACACGTCTTACTCAACCAATGGAGCAAATAATTTCTCCCTAACCTTCTAGTTTCCTGCTGCTAAGTACTGATTATCTTTATTGTCCTATTAATATATGGAAACATGTTGAGAAAATAGTCGGACCATGTTATACCACAATTCTGTTTATAACCGGAGCTGAATCATTGATGTCCCCCCAACTCGTACAACAGGTCAGTATCATCATCCCGCTCTTCCCCCCCCCCCCCCCCCCCCCCACACCCACCCACCACCATTCCATTTCAGCAGAGGGAAATGGATCCTTTGCTTTTAAAGTTTTTTAAAAATAAATAATAAATTGGTCACACTGAATCCACGACTATTTGTGGGACGCTGCTGTGCACAATTGGCTGCCGCGTTTCACCCACAAAATATCTGTGAAGTGGTTTGAGACATCTTAAAGACGTGATAAGGCACTACATCAAATGCAAGGATTATTATTATTATTATTATTCTTTGCTGATCCATGTGCCATGATGCCTCTTCTGATCTAGAGAACTGAAGATAATCACCTCAAGGGGTGATCTTATGATATGGTAAGGGGAAGCTACAAATGTTCCAGCTATAAAAGTGTATTGAGGAGATTGGCTTAGAACATATCTTCCTGCTTGTGATTTCACCCATCCATTTTAAGCAGAGGGCACCTTTGTCTGAACGATGACTGCAACATTTAAAATTTTGTAAAACTTTCTTTTCAAGCTCACAAGGAACTACCCTTCTGAGTAAAAGCCAGCAGATGCCAGCGTTGAGCTGCATGTTTCAAGTTGCCTATTTTGCACCAGCAAATCTTAATGATTTTGTAGAATAATAGAACTATACAGCACAGAAGGAGGCCATTTGGCCCATCGTGTCTGTACCAGCTCTTTGAAAAAAGCTACCTCATTCAATCCCACTTCCCCCATCTCTCCCCATAGCCCTGCAAACTTGTTCTCCCCAAATAATTATCTAGCAGAATTTCTAGCTTCACTGATCGATGGGCAGGAATTCTGTTCATAGTTATGCAATCTCATTTGAGATCTCATGCAATCTTAATGACCGACACCGCCATAGCACTGGGCGTAATACTGAATGGATTTTTTACCCTGTTTGCAAACCGCTCTACCTACAGCCAGCCCAAAGGGAATGCTTCACATTGTCTGGAATACGTATCCGCTGCTCCCTGTGTAATTATGGGGCTCACTGAAATGAAGTATGGTTTGTCCTGCAATTGAACTTTGATCTTTATTAATTGTGGACACCAAGAGGGAGGAGTGTAGGTCGAGTCGTTTTGTGTAGATCCTTTGTTCCTTTGATTCAAATCTTAGCATCCTGTTATCTGTGACGCACAATTGCTAAAGAAATATGAAATCCGTGTATGTTGGTTAGACTTTTCGCTCTGCCCAATGCAACCTAGGGTTACCTTCAGGGGGTAGCAGTGGTCATTCTTCAAAGGCAGGCGAAATTCTAACTAACCTTCCCTAGTGATTGCATAGTGGGAGTTCTCCATGGTAGTTTTTCAAGCAAAGTTCAAGATGTACCGTTAAATATAAAGCTTGCCAATACTCAAAATTCCTGCTGTTTTAAAGGAATGTTCCTAATTTTATCGTTCCTTTTTTTCACCAAAAATATTTGGTCTTATTTTCCACTGTTTCTTTTACTTTGAACCAATCAGTTTTTTTTCAGACTAAAAATGTATTCAGTAATTTTATCCAGGGTAGTCCCTCTTGGTAGTTCATAGCAAGGGTGTGGATCTAGGTGCCTCAGCTAACGTAGCACAATAGAGTGCTGAAATAATATAATAGTTATTTGATAAACGCCTTATATTGAGACGACTCAAAGCAATCCACAGGATTTTACTACAAAGTTATTGCTCTATATTTGTAGGCAAATGCAGCAGCCAATTTGCACGCTGCGATGTCCCACAAACAGCCATGAAGTGAATGAAGTGATTTTATCTGAGGGATTGTTGGTTAGGACACGAGGAGAAACTCTCTTCTCTTTTTGAGGTGTGCAGTTGGTTTCTTTTTCTACTTGTTCAGGCAAGCAAACGAGAGAAACAGATGCAGGCGGGCAGACAGACAGACAAATAAATAGACCGACAGATAGACACAGGCAGACAGATAGACAGTCAGACATACACAGGCAGACAGACAGATAGACGGACACAAGCAGACAGACAGCAGATGCAGACAAACATGCAGAAAGACAGATGCAGGCAGACAGACAGATGAGGCCCAGCTGGGGGAGCTGGGGCTATGGGAGCCGCTGCCTTGAGGGGGTGGTGCCCCCTGCTGGTGTCTGGGGAGTGGTGGCCTTGCTGGTGGGGGTGAGGCTGGTGAAGCTGGGGGTGTGGAGGGGAGGGGGTTGAACTGTAAACTAAAACATTTTTTAAAGTAATGTAGCTTTACTGCAGATTTTGAATATGAAATTGGATCCAGATTCTCAGATAGTCCACTATTTCCTCTGACCCCCAGAATCGAGATGTTTTGAGTTTTGTTTCAATTCTGGAAATTGCTTATTTTGAGACCATTGTGACCTGCTGACCATGTCCATGTGGAACTAAAGCAGATTTTCTAAGTGCTCCAGAACTACTGCTCCAATTTACACAGCATCGATTGAGGTGGGGAGGGAGGGAGTCAAGGAAAAGATGACACAGTATATTACAGCCCAGTGCACTGCATTATGCAATAAAGGACAAAGAATTGTGCCCAAAATCTTCACCTAGAGAATTCCTGACGTCAGCTGTGCCACTGCAAGAGATGAAGCATAGATCCCGTATGATTACCTATGCAGAGAGGGCCAGTTATCCTGAGCCTTTCCCCTGTACTGTGTATCCCGCTGGCTGACTGAAGCAGCATTGACAGAGGCCCTGGGAACCTGTCTCCAGCCTCTTATTTTAGGCATATGAAGAGGATGGCTCAGGGACATTGTTTTGGAGTAAAGAGACACAGTGGGAAAACAAAACTAAATAATAATAATAATCCTTGCATTTGATAAAGCACCTTACAACAAGATTACATTTGCATAGTGCCTTATCACGTCTTCGAGACGTCTCAAAGTGCTTCATAGAATATACTGTAAAGTGAATTGACTAAATTTTGTGAACGAAACACGGCAGCCAATTGCACGCAGCAGTGTCCCACAAACAGCCATGGAGTGAAGTAACCAATTTATTATTGTTTTTTTAAGGAATTACCATCCCCGGAAAAGCAATCCGCCAATTGACTTAACAACCGGGTTCTTACTTACTGCCAGATAAACAGAGGCGTGTGGAGTAAGGAAACTTGCCCAACATTTCGCCCTGCCGGGAATCGAATCCAGGTCTCTCGCTTGCGAGCTACAGAATTCTGAATGAGCTAAATGAGTTACTGAGTTCCTTCGGCAAACGTAAAAGTAAATTTAGTACAGCAGAGAGAGTCGGAAAGACTAGGAAAAAGCAAAGTAATTTTTCTCCCTGTTTTTCTTATCTCATCTGATCAAAATATTTTAACACTTTTTAAAATTGTTTCCATACCTTTTACTGAAGGACTCCAGAGTGTGTCTCGAAAATGCAGGAAAATATCAGTCTGCAAGAAAAGCCTGGTGCTCTAGGGCCACTGGACTGCAGACAGCTTGTCAACATTTTATTTTCTTGTGAAATTATAAGGAATAAAATGTCAGATGTACGTTGATTACAACGTCTTTGCATTCACAATAATGTAATAACCAGTGTTTGTAACATGTTAGTGTTTTTGGTTTGGTGACTCTTTCTGACTTGAAAGATCTTTTTTATTTTAACAGAGACCCAGGGGAATGGGCTCTACAAAGAGCCAAAGACAACATGAATGAGAATTACCTGCTTGTGGGAATTCTTGAAGAGTTGGAAGATGTACTGCTTTTACTGGAACGACTTTTACCTCATTACTTCAAAGATGCTAGTTCCATCTATCATAGTCCAGGTAATTCTGCCACTGCTTCAAAGAGTTTATTGTTGAGATTTAAGATTACTTTAAGATTTCTGCATGACAATGTAAAACCTGCTAAATCAATGGACTGTTGGAAGCTTATAAGTTTATAAACATGGTTCCTGATCAGTTCTGTGAATCCCACATACTTGTAGGTAATGTAATTAATAGTTACCTAAACAGTGTGAAGTACATCGAGATGTCCTCCAGACATGAAAGACTCTTTATAAATGTAAATTGTATTGTGTTCCAGTGTCAGTCTGGTCCAGTTGGTAGCACTCTTGCCTCTGAATCAGAAAGTTGTGGCTTCAAGACCTCATTGGGACTTGGAACTCATGTAGTTTAAGCTGACACTGAATATAGTGCCGGGGGGGAGATATTCCATTGTTGGAGATGCCGTCATTCAGGTGAGACATTGAATCGAGGTCCTGTAGTCTGTACCGGTGAACATTAAAGTTCCTGTGACACAATGCGAAAAAAGAAAGGAGTTTCTCCTGGTATCCTGGCCAACAATCCCCCAAATACAGTAAAATTGATCATTTGCTCTATGGCTATTTGTGGGACATTGATGGACACAGATGGCATTTTGCCCACAAAACAAGCAGTATACCCTGTGAAGTGCTTTGGGATATCCTGTTGTGAGAGGCACTATGCAAGGATTATTTTAAATAAATGTTTCACCTAATCACTGAGATTGTGAACAATTGCTGTTTTGGTGCATCTAAAGCCTTGGACTTAATCAATCACTGAAGACTACTTCCTGTTGGGAGGAGCCCTTGATTTGGACTGAGAAAATCTCTTGAATTCAGGCTCCACTGAGTGATTGATAAATTTGTAAATAATGTGATGAGGGAAACCCTAACATAAATTGATACAAATGAGCTGGATTAGATGACCAGCTTGTTTCAAGAGGTAGGCAGAAAAATGTACGATTTTATAGTCACTTTAAATGTTGGCAAACACAACAAATAATATGAGATTACTGACCGATTTATCTGGAGGATTGTTAGTTGGGGAATTGGGGAAAAACTCCCTTCTCCTTTCAAATAGAAGAACTTTGGTACATCCTCATGACGTGAAAGGTGCTGTATAAACGTAAATGGTATTGTAAATCTTGTCACAGGATCTTTAATGTCCACCTGATCAGGCAGATGAGCTCTTGGTTTAGTATCTCATTTGAAAGACTGCACTCTGACATTGCAGCATTTCCCCCATCATTGCACTGAGGCAGCCTAGACTGAGCTGAAATCCCAAAGTGGGGCTTGAACTGACCAGACACAGTAGGTAGTGAGTGTAGAAGTTTAAATCAGATTCAGGAATTCACAGGACAAAATTGATAACAGAAAATCCACCAACAAAACCAAATCTAATCACAAAAACAGTACAATATGTACAAATTGTCATTGAGCAAGGAAAAGCCAAAGGCAATTTCCAAGCACAGAGGACTTTGTGTCCTTTTTAAAGGTAGATTTCTTTTCTCTGACCTGTATTTTTAATTTATATGAAGGAGGTTGATGGCAGATAAAAACCTATACATGAAAACATGGCACGTTCTTCAAAACTGCTCAGGAATTGAGCTCTCCAGAAATCTCACACTCGTGATGACTTTGCTTCTGAATAATGTTGTTGCTTTTAATACAGTGGAATTCATAATACATGGGATGAGGGTGCTTGTGCAGCCCACAGCACCTTAAATCTTTACTTTTGGCTGCCTTCTGCTACACAGGTTCTTTCTTGGGTGTCTTCATGGCCTGCCTGACTGAGTTGATCGTAATCCTTGCATTTCATATAGCTCCTTTTCACATCATCAAGACATCCCAAAGTTCTTCCTAGGGTGGGCAAACTTGGCAGCCAATATGTGCACAGCGATGTCCACAAGCAACCAAGGAGTGAGTGATCAATTTTATTTGGGGGATTTGTTGGCCTGGACATTGGGAGAATCTCACTTCTCTTTCAAGTAGTGCCATGGGATCTTTAACATCCACTGATCTCTCTTCTCTACAGTCTAGTGAGAGAAAGCAAGGAATTGCTGTTAAGAGGCAATCTTATTCAAACATCCATAAAACAAGTCCTCTATTAAGGCTATAGCATCTGTATCTCCTATTATTCTGTCTTCACTAGGCTTGTTGGTTACTCCAAACAAGGGTTATTCATCTAGGTGGTCCGCAAGCCAAGTCTACACCTCTGTGAATTCTTATTATTTCTGCGACCAATGGATAGATTGATGATAGATAATCATGCATGCATGATTCTTTAGCAGACCAATATTTCTCAAAACGACAATTGGAAGGGTTATACAGAGTTTTGTATATATTAACTGGTAACTAAAGTCTAGGGGGAGAATTTTTCACTTAACAAATCTCCTTGTGATAGAAGAAAATAATAACTCTCAGATTTTAGGAAAAACATCAGTTTTCTTGCCTGTGGTGAGATCTTCGAATTGGGGTTCACTCCCTGGTAAGTTCCTCTGTGTATCAGAGCAGTTTCACTGTAAGTAAATACACCTACTTTGAGCTCACAATTGCTGCACACAAATTAAGTTCTGGGAAGCTCGTGCTCAAACTATTTTTTTCGTCAGCATCGCACTGCCACATTAGAGCTCAATAAACCAACATGTGGAAAATCACCATGCAGATACATTGTGTTCCACTATAGTGAATTTCGGGGTCTGGTCACCTTCTGTTTCAAATGGAAGGGGAAAAAAGACTATGACAAAGCATCATGAACAGTGAAAAACAGCTACATGTAGAATGTTGCCTATCTTGCCTTTTGCTTAGGTTGTTGCCCTCAGAAAGGTTTCAGTGACATGTCATTACCATCTCTGCCCTTCTCGTTGCCGGCATTTCCCTTTCTCCAATCGTGCCCTCTATTTTGGAGGTAGGCATTGTAATAATAATAATCCTTACATTTGATATAGCACCTTTCACATCAGGAAGATGTCCCAAAGTGCTTCACAGAATATACTGTAAAAAGGATTGACTCTGTGTTCTGTGAATGAATACGGCTGACAATTTGCGCACAGCAACTTCCGACAAACAGCCATGAAATAAATGACCAATTTAATTTGGGGGATTGTTGGCCAATTCATCAGGAGAAATGGTTTTTCTTTTTGAGTAGTGCCATGGGATCTTTAACATCCACCTGAACAGGCAGACAGGAATCAGTTTAACATTTCATCCATAGAATGGAACCTCTAACAATACAGCACACTCCCAGCACTGCATTGGAGTGTCAGCTTACACTTATATGAGTTTCAAGTCCTGACATAGGGCTTGAATCCACCATCTTCTGACTCAGAAAAGAGAGAGTGCTCCCAACTAAGCCAGGCTGACACTTATATCCTCTTTTTCTGCTGCTACCAATTTATTATAACAGGACAGGTGGGCTGAATACTATATGAAAGCAAGGTTTATTTGCTAATATATTCCTACTTTATGCCAGTGTATGGCAAATCTATGCATGGCTTTGTGTTTGCCAAACATGAAGACACTGCCCCCTTTTGAGCAACTAGGATTTTTTTTAGAAGAAAAGTTAAATTGAATCAATTGTACAAAAATGCCTCCTGGAACGTTTGTGGGGTGGATGTGACAGTTTTTTTTTGTGTTAGTCTTCTCTCAGTTGAATGCCTCCTCCATTTTGCTCATGGTCTTGTTTTGTGGTCTGATGTTATCTAAAATATAGTAAACTTCCTGCGTATGATTAACCCAGAAAAGTTTGAAAAAATGCTTTGTTACACCGGTGGATGGAGTTTTTAACAAAAAAAACTTTGTTTGATATTTCATATCAGGCCTATAATGTTGAAATATCTCAAAGTGTTTTACAGGTAATTAGTATCAAGTGCAGGTTTGTTGGCAAAAGCAATTAGAGCCATGTATAAATTTCACCATGACGTCTCATGCAAGAAATGTTTTTAGAAGTTTTTAGAAGTTGAATAAAGCATTTTCACACCAATTGCAGCATCATACTGGATTGCTTGGCAAGAAAAACAAAAAGTTTGCCAAACCCTTTTGGATGAAGCCCCCCTCATTATCTGGACTTTCCAGAATTGTATTGCAGTGAATTTACTGTTCAATGCTGTACTTTCCCAGTTATTCGTTGGAAATCATCCAAGAAGTAAGTAGACTGCTGGAGGATAGATATGTGTCCAGCACCCAGTAAACGTCTGCGAAATGAACCATTATTAAGGACTAATTCCCTATTCATACTTAATGTAGAACAGCTGAATTCCACACCTTCATTTGCCATATGTGTGGAATCGTCTGACTTCTTTTAAACTCAATTCAGCGATTCAGTGCATCAATGTATATCTGCAAACATGAATTTTGCAAGACTAGTTCCCCTGCTCTATTTCCTTCACCACATGCTGCCTTCCTCTCTCGCCTTCTGATAGCACAGAGATGCATTTGATTAATGGAGAGAAATTAAGACTTGCTTCCTGTAAATTTTACAGCAATACAGCCTCAATATAGCATGGGATGAAAATTGCAATGTGACTGCATTCTGCAGAATTCTGTCCTGTCAAACTAAAAATATAAATTATCTTTTTTTTCTCCTCCTCCTCCCACTACCTCCATTTTCTCCCCTCCAATTCCTTCCTTCCACCCCAATTCCTTCACAGTGGTTACTCTGACGTTTTTTGATGTTAAGCCTCTTAGTCCTTTGCATGGCTTTGGGCCCAACTGTTGTGACAGAGTTGGAAGTCACACCTGTGGCCAGACGACATCCTTAGTTACCAATGGGGCAGATTGTTTCACAATGTGATAATCAGCAATTCACAAGTTACAGATTTCACTGCCAACATTTTTTTTCCTATATATATATATATATACAAATATACGTATGAGTGTGTGTGTGTATATATATATATATTTCTATATACAGAGTAGGGAGGAGATCCGGTCCAGTGAGCTGGAATTTCCAGCTAAGTTCAATTACAATGCCATTACTGACATTTCGCAGCTTATTTCGGGGGCAGCCTCTTTTAGGGCTGAAAA